TTGCATGAATATGAAATTTACTGATGCAATCTAGACAGTTGATCACTTCTGGGGCTAATCAGACTTTACATATTACTGAGAGACAATTTTAAAAAGAGCCACAAAAAGGGGGCAGAGGGATGGGTTGGCACAATGAGATAGCAACGCCTCCCTATTTGCAAGCCCAACAGCCATTCCTCAACAAGAGTAAAATTTGGCCACCGCATCGGAGATGAGACAGTGCAGATATCCCCTGGAAGTTGTAGCCCAAAATCAGATCCACCTCTTCTTGGGAATAGGAATAACAGCAGAACAGTTTTTTAATGTCATGATCCAAATTGCATGGTCCTCCAGTGCTACCCAGGCTATTCTGACCCTGCACTAAGGATAAATGTTGTTCAAACAGCATATATCCTCTTTGGAACGATTCACAATCTCTCGAGATATACTGTAATTACTGTGACTCCACAATAAAGATATAATTTTGTATCTTACTGGAACGTTAAAGTTGAGGTAAACATTTACTGCAAAGACTGGAATTGGAGGGCCCAAATCTTCTCTCATGGTTAAGGCTTGACAGACATAATCTGAGATAAGATCATCAAGAACAGAGTTGCTGGAATAATTTTGTCAACATACTGGAAATTATTTTCATCTGAAATCATCCTAATATTCAGCTGTGTTAACATAGCTAGCATTTTCTGGGGGGGAGCTGGGTATTTAAAAACAAAAATTATTAAGTCTACATAGACTTTCTCAGCTGTAAATCACTGATGCATCAGATAGTACTTTGCATTTTGTCTCGAAGTCACAACAAGTAGAAAATATCATTCTTTGTGTTATCAGGAACGGCGGAGGCAGCTGGCTCACTCTTTCTATTCCTTACTAACGTAACTGCATAATCACCTCACTGAGCATTGAACCTCGGCTCCGAGGGCTCTGTCTTCTGTTGTTAGTTTCTAAAAGCACAGGGAAGATCCTCCCCAAGTGGGATTTGCATCACTAATTATTATGGAATAATTAGGAACAACAGATGCCAACTTCTGAACTCACTGAGCCCGGTAAAATTCCCAGGGGCTCCGAGTTTTGGAAACGCTGAGATTTTACTTTTCGTTTGTGTGGGAGCAGGACTGCTGGCACTAAAAGCCGTGGGATGGCATCAGGACTGCAGTGCCCCACCACTGTAACTAGAGTCACAGTGACCTATCGAAATAGTCGGAGTTAATGCAGCTCTCCTAGTGATTTTTTAGACAGGTTCTATAATTTAATATTTTAATGGAGACTACCCCTGAGTCAATAGTAGGGCTTTCATTGGATTATAAATGACATAGTATTCTTCTGAAATATACTGCAAATAATTCTGAAGAGTGAGAATTTTTCAGTGCAGTTAGACAGTAATGGAAGGTTTTTAAAAGGAACAAGACCCTTTTAGAAGTTACAGAAGAGCTGCCTACAGTGCTTTTTCCCATAAGTGGGAATAGTATACTGCACTAAGTATGTCTTAGAAACAGGAATTGCCTCTAAAGATTTCAGAAGTTGCTTTGGAATATTTAATTAAACAAAAATTTCTGGACTCATAAGAAAAATTTAAGTTGGCATTGCTTCTGTGACAAGCCATTGACAAAAGCCCAGCCACCTCAGAAAATAGCAGAGAGCTACATGCTTTCCTCAGACATAGCTCAACTGCAGCTGGGAAATGCCAAGAAAAACAAGAGCTGAGCTTCCAAATGCTCCCTTATTTGCTCAAGTGTCCATTTCCTGGCAGAGAAGAGGGTGAAGTTTAACTGAGACCAAAGCAGCCCGGGAGGGACACCCAGTGCCCACACCACTGCCTGCACGCATCTGTAGAAGCACTTTTAGCCATGACAGCTGTCTGAAGTTGGTCAACAACTGGCCACTTGGAGATAGGTGCTTGATAAACACGAGAAGGGTCTAAGGATAGATCTCAGCTTCCAGCAGCTTTGGGACCAGCCTGCAACACTTACAGGCTGCTCCCAAAAGCCCAAATCAGCCGTTGGGACTACCAGGATGAAGGGAGAGTCATTATGATTTAGACTACATCTCACCCAAACTGGAATGTGAAGAGCTCCCTGGCAGCAAAACATTCAACAAAACTACAAAAAATACCAAGTATATTGACATAAAGCCTGCTTGGCCTGCTCCATCCTGTACTGGTAAAACTGTTCATGAAAGTTCACAGGAAACTAACAGAGCAAGGAGCAGGAGAAGGCTGCTCTAGGGAGCACTCACTCAGCCTGACTCGATGCTATCCCCTGGGCTCCCTCCATCGCTGGCGGACAGAAACGAGCTTCATTCTGGGATGACTCAGCCCCAGATTGCCTTCTGGAGGATGCTCTCTCCAAAGATTATATGATAAACCTAAAGAGAAGAGCCTCTAAACTGGTCACAAAGCAGCTGTAAAAGAGGGCTAAACATCTGTGCGCTTGCAATGAAGCCACGGACCCTGTGAAATCAAGTTGTCATTGATTAACATGGGAGCAATGCCTCTGGGATGTCTGGATCAATAACTCTTGACTCTCACTGCTCCAGGGTTGCTGCAAGGCAGCATCACTTAGCTCTTCAGGTTACCGGGCTTTTACAAATGAATATTACAGCTTCTTTGTAATAATTACAGAGCAATTACGAAACTAACAGCAAAATCTATGCAAGGCCAACCCTGATCCTCTCTCGGAAACGTTATCAGCCCCTTAACAGCACTTGGAGAACTCCCAACAGCTCCAACTCTACCCCTAATCCACAACCCCACGTTGCTCCCAGCCTTAGTTCTCCCATTACTCGCAACTCAATACTTTTTTTTGTGTTTCTTTCCTCCCTGGAATCCCACCTAAGCAGCTGCCTCAACACCCTCATCCTTAACCTGGCCAGGGTCCCACTTCTGGTCGCAAACATAGCGGGCAGGGTACGGATCCCTGCTTGCTTGGCCTCTGGGCTCCCTTTGCTGCATAAAGAGCTAAATCACAGCACATTCTGCAGAAGCACATGCTTTCAGTCTCTTACAACCCTGTATTCAACTCGGATTTACAGACATAGGCTAACAATCCCCAGGCCACCTATCCCCTTTTTTTGGAGTGCCGTAATGCCTTCCTGCAACAATAATTGACAAAAATAAAGATAAAAATAAAAATAATAAAAACAAACCCCAAGAATTAGGCTGAATTACAGAGTAGCTTGATGGCTGAAAAGGAGCTAGCAGCAGTTACAGTATGGCACCTCATCTCCAAAGAGCCCCTGTGGGTCGTGCCCTGCAGGGAGCCCCCTGCTTTTCCCTGAGGCACGCAGCAAGGCCAGGGAGGCAGGATATCTGCACTCCTTGCTGCAAATGCAAATGAACTAATAAACCAGTTTTGCCTTAAACCCAAAGAAGCAGGCCACTTTCTGTATATTTGAAGGGCTACTGGTTTCTCACCTAGTGTGCCAGGGAGCTGCAAACCTATTCTACAGACCGAGACTTGTGGCACGAGGTGGCAGAAGTGACCCGCCCAGGGCTGGGTGCCTGCTGCCGCACATGGAGCAGAGCTGCCTTCCCCAGGGACACACTGCACGAGGCCAACCCCAGGAGCAGGGCTGCAGTCTCCCATCCAGAGGGCACAAACTGCTCCAAAACACACCGTAAATCACCACTACCAAAATACCCAGTCTACTGTGGTGCTGTGTGGGCCAAGCCATGCATGCGATCACAAGCAAGTCAGATAACGGAGTCTGTGAAACTAATTTAAATTTCCACGTTCAAACACCATAATTCCTATTTTAAAATGTATAATTCTCTGCCTGGATTTTTCTATGCAATTAACCTATGAACAAATGACAAACATCCAAAAACTCATGTTTCTATCACAGTCTTTAAAATAGCATTTAGACATCTGCATACATCGCAAGAATTGCCACTGCCACCTCTAAATCACAAGCTCAGATTAAAATGATATGGTTGTTGTTTTATCTGTTTTCCCCTCCAATGCAACGGCTGTAGGAAGAATTGGCTTTTTGGTTTAGATGCTGAACCAAAAAATGCAGAGAGAAAATAAAAAATTAAACAAACAGCCCTGGATCGAACTTTATTTATTTATTTTATCTCTGCAGAACTGAATCCCCCCACCACATCATTTCACTTGACATTCCATTTGCTTGGAAATGAAATGTTTTGTTCCGCGTGCTTGCGTGTAAAGAAAAGGCAATACTACCTTTAATAAAGTGGATCAGGGAAACCTGCTGCCTGATTTAAGGCTGGGAGCCTGCTTTAACCACTGTGTGAATGACGGCCCTCTTCTGCAAGGGGCCACTGGAGAGAGTCTTCTCCACCACCTCTGGCCACTGTGCCAGGCAGCGTGATGGAAAAAAGCGTGCAGAGAGAGAGGGCATGGGAAGGATTCGCTGCAGTGTGAGTAGGACATGTCGCTGAATGCACCGACTGCAATGACTGCCCGCTGATTTACTGAAGAAACAACGCCAAAGAGACAGAGCGAGGACACCTTGCCTTAGGAAAATGAATTCCTCTGGTAGGGACAGGAAAAGGAGGATTCCCAGCAAGCTAGAAACCAACCTAAGACTTGCTGAGACTGAGTAAATATGCTAACTGCTAAACTTCCCAGCAGGTTATTTGCTCTAGAATTTTGTGTATCTAGTTCAAAGAAAAACAAACCCAAACTCAGCTTCAGGTTGACTGAAATTGCACTTAACATTTGCCCCACAGTATAGCTGCCTGCCTGTGTTAAACAGTCACAAACTATCAGAACTGAAAGTTCTGCTTCTCTCCTGCTCTAGCTTGGGGACTGGTCTACGTGATTTTTCAAGGCCCCTTCCCATCCCTAACACTGTCATCTCTGTGATTCTGTGACTGGGGGAAATTAATCCTGATGACAATCAGTAGCAAAAAATAATACATACATACATACATACATATATATATATATATATATGGGAGAAGGCAATGTTGAGAGAATGAGGAAACACAGGCATGTATAGCCACGACCAAGTGGTCTTGGGAGACCAGAACATCAAGGTACCTGCCAACAGCCTCCTCTGAAGCTTCTATTTCCTTGGAACTTTTGTTCGCAGCTCTGTCACCGCTGTTACAGCAGCCTCGGTCCTCAGCTGTAGCCACACGACTCAGACAGTATGGTTTTCTTTGGTCAAAGGAAAAAGAAGAAAAAAATTAAGAATTGCCATTATGCCAAACACCAGTTATGCCTGGTTTTTCTTCTGGCTTCTTCTACTGCCTTATTTCCAGCCACTTTTTTTGCTGCCTGAGACATACGTGTTTTCAAGGCAGGGACAGCCTTTGGTTTATCAGACTGTACTATGAGTTATGCACAGGTCTCTTACAGGGAAGGTCGCTTTTTCTAAGGGCTGAAGAGGCACAAAGTGACCACAGCTCCTCGTCAGCACTCCTGATTGCTACAGACTTAGTGCTGGCTCTCAAAACAGTTTGGGAACGTCAGCTCCTAGACTCACAGGATTAGGAAATTACATTTTCATTAAAAGGTAGTTTCAAACATCCGTGATGATGAAGGAAAACCTAGAAGTGTAATTATCTCATATCCCAAGAACCCATTCCTCCACCAAAAGGCAATGAAACTAACATCAAGTTACGTCTTTAAATGTTCACAGTGCTTACCAACTAACGACCTTTGTGTACTTGCAGCAGAGAGCACAATATTACCCCTCCAGAATTTCTCCTAGCAGCCTACAAGATCGACTCCTTATCTCCTACTGCTCATTCAAACCTTTCACATGGGGAAAGCTGTCTGAATTCCCAAAGTCCATATGCAAAGCTCAGAAAACCAGGAATTTGGAATTTCTTTTCATTTCTTCTCCTGCGCGAGCCCTCCTTTCAGAGCCACTGCTGCTGTTCCCATTGTCTGCTTGCACCAGCAGCTGAAGATAACCTTTTGATAACATTTGCAACTCACACATTAATGTACCATCTATCTCTCATTATATCTCCTCACTGCATGTTTTTCCATTCGCGGCAATTATTCAGATTATTCTGTCTTGTTTTACCAGCTCTCTCTGTGCATACAAACAAACTGAAGAAATTAGCAATGCAGAATTCAGCGAGGTGTTTTGAAACTCTTATCGCAGCCTCCTCCAGGCAGTTTCCATTTTTTTTCCCCTCTCAGATTTGCCTATCATTCACAGTCTCTTATGGCATTATGCAGTGCAAAAAGGTACACCGCTGCACTGTGAGCACAGCCTTTATTTTCCATTGTTACCGTCCCTTCGGTAGTAAGAATTCAGAGGATGCTTCCAGTCAGTTCCTGACCTGCTGACAATTTTACAGGTGTTCACCCGGACCACAAAATAGCACAACATTTTCAAGGTGCTTTCATTTGGCGCCACATGAAGTTCACTTGATAATATTTTTTCATAATGTGCTATCAAAAACCCATCTTTCCAGGACAGCGGCACTTCAGGGATAATTTTGTGGTCCAGTACGTTCCCAGAAAAATTATTTAGAAAAGTTCATTTTGATGGGAAAAAAAATATCTCAGAAAACCGCTGGCTACACTTCCTCTCAATGTACAGCATTTAGGTCAATGAGCAAAACTGCACTGGCATCTTGGGAGGCAGTGTTTAAATTCCTATTCACTGGAAATGACATAAGATGAGTTAAAAGTTATTATTACACATGCATGAATCGAGAAATGCCATGAATGAATTTAGAAATAACATATTATTTCCTAATATGTAAATAACCATTAAGCCATATTGGGCAGAGCACGTCTTAATGAAAGAAAAGTAAATCCAACTGACCCCATTAAATCGATATATTTCACGGAAGGTTCAGCTTGCTCCACGGGCTCCTCTTGAACTATTTTAAATGAAACTCAGACTGGTGCTATGAAACTTCAAGAGTGCAGAGCAACAAATACTACAATGAATGATACAACAAATTATCTTTGGTAATTTCCACACCCAGCCTGAAAGGAAAACAAGCTTTTTTTTTTTATTCTACAGCACAGACAACATCATCAGATTGAATTGATCTATATATTCAGCTCCCTACCTTCTGGTTTCTTTTCTGGCTCCAGGCAGGACTTCACTGCCCCAGTCCACCTCCTGCCCTGGCAATTTGCGGGGGTCTGACCATTTTCCCCCTTTGCAAATAGAGCTTGGTGCAGAAAAGCCATCTGAATAGACATGATGGGAAAGGATGAACTAGGAGTAATGTTTATTTATTACATTTATGTCTCTTCTCCCCTTTTGATAGGTTCATAAACCTGATAATCAATACACTCATTAAAGAGCTGTGCATTTGACCTAAATACTACATACAAATAAAATATATATGCAATAAAAACTAAATCATCATATAGTTCTGATAGATGATGAAGACCGAGGCTTTAAAAGGATTTCACCCCTCTCCATCTCCCAGAATCCTACGTATCGATATCCATTAGCTCTCGGGAACATTACCAGACAAAAACAGAGTGGGAAGTTGTACAACAAAAAAACACAGCACCTTGCTCAATACTTCCAGCGAAAATCATTGGTAGAAAATAATACAATGTATAACTGCAGCGTGAATTTACAGACCTGAATTTGTTCTTTTATAGAAAATGATAGTCACAGATGAAAAGATAAATATCTCTCCGGATCCAAAAACAAAAGCATTGTTAGTTTTATTCCCACAAGATCGATACCAATCATGCACTGTAGCCAACCAAGAACAGTTGATAACAATCAGGAGGTGCTAGATTCAATTCGGCTTTAGTGACAGGGCTGGCAAGTCAATAACTTCAAAAGGTAGGTTTTTTTTAAATCTAATTTTTAGAGAAGCATATAACAGGAACCCATTTGTAAGTCAAGATTTTAAGCAGATATAAAAATCAAGCATGGCCCTTCAAAACAATATTTCTTGTTGACTTTAGCTTAAAGCCAGGACAGAAAACATGCCAGTGTTGTTGGCATCTTCTTACCCCTTTCAGCCCTTCGACATTTTTCCCAAGCCAGGAATCTCCCAAAGCGTTACAATGAAAATCCTCCAAGGCAGGCAGGTTCCTGCAGCTGTGCCATGGCCTTTGTTACCCTGGGTTGAGGGTAGCTACCCTCTGCTGGGCTGTGCAAAGGGTCCTGTTGCCCTGCTGCAACTCTGCCCACTTTTACTTGCTGGGAAGGAGACCCTTGTGGGTCACCCCAAGCTTTGAGGCTTGACATTTCTGACACGGTGCTCTTAAAGGTCTGTGTTATTGACCCCAAATCTTCCAAGCGCTGGAGCCCAGACCCTGTGAAGGAGGGTGAAGCAGCATTGCCCCCTCCTTGCACTTTCATATACAATTAGATGACTCCAAGAAAATATTCACAGGCAGAAGTGTCTTGAATTTCACAGGAGCACAGCAACAAACACTCCTTGCACACCAACATCTCCATCTACCATTCCTTAGGGGAAGTTCCCTGGTGGTTATAGGGAGGCCTTCTCTGCTAGTGCCTGTCTGATTGCCAGGACCTGGTGCTGCAGAACTTGCTGAGAAACAGCCCTGTGCCTCCCAACTCCTTCACCAGCTCAATTTACCTACACGAAACCTGGCTCCTTCTGTGTAGCAGCTATGATGGGAAGAAGCATTGCAGGAGGGCCACCGGCTGCCGAAGCAGCAGACTGCTCAATGCTGAGCATTTCTGCGTGCCTCAGAAAAAAAGGAAGGACAACGAGGAAGCAGTGGGAAGATGAGAGTTTTGTGGTTGTTGTTCCCACCTTAAATTTCTATAAATTTAAGTGTACACACTGAGAAGAGTAGACAAAAGATCTGTGCCCCAGGTCTTGCCTAAGTAAAGATGGGACAAGTGAGGTTAACGGCAGAAGAGAGACAGAATTAAAGGCATCGAGACCCTAAAAATGCATTTACACATGCTTATGTTTCTGGATGTCTTTCACCTACTCCTCTCTGTATCTCTGCATTCTAGGACTCAAAAATAGGATGACAAAATTATGTGAAGGGCTTTTTTTGAAAGGCTCAAGTAGCTAAAAAGTATTTTAATGCCTGACCCCATACAACTGAAGGCAAAGTTCACTGATTACTACTGTTATGGAAAATTTTCCCATGATATTACGGTGTCCTGATTTAGTTATTAGCTGTTCGTCTACTCCCATTCAGACTGAAGCCTTCTGTGACAGGTGCTGTGCAAGGCAGCATTTTCAGCTGGAGGAAGAGAGGAGATTTCAGTTGTAACGGTTTAGCTACTCCCAAAATAAAGCAAGGGGGGAAAAGCTGTTTTAAAGATTAAAAAATAACAGTGATGATTCTGGAGATGGTTCTTTCGCCTGCAGAAAATTCTGTCATCGCCATCGCAAGAATGTGGATTTGATATCCTGCAGACGCTGTGGCAAGGACGGACAGCTTACCGCCCACCTCACTTTGGCAAAGCTACAAGAAATCTTTGAAATAAAACTCAGTTATTTAATAGGGACCTACCTTCTAACTCCTGGCAATCATGAAAATGACTGGCTACCTAAGAAAGCCACGTCCAAATGAAAAATTTTCAACAACTTGATGCTGCCGGTACTGTAACACTCAGACCAAAATATGACTTCTGCGTTTACCGATGACTGCCTTCTGGATCTTGAACCATTTGTTGGCTTTCAGGCTTTTCTTCACAGCCCAGGGATTTAGTCTCCTTTTGTTCTGAACCTGATGTTTGCACATTGATCACTTGTCTCCAGGAGCTGAGATTTGCAAAAAATCTCCAACCTAAGTTTGCGCGTACAACTGTACAAAACCCCTCTAAATATATTTAGAAATCAAGAAAATCATTAAAGCGTCAAAAGCAGAAAGTTTGCCTTTCATGCTGCAGGTTAAACTTTTCAGCGTAACAGCCAACTTCACCGAGTTTGTTGGCAGCACAGAAATGAAACTTCCCTTTCAAATCCTCCAAGTGAGGAGCGCTAATAGAGCCCCAGTGCATTTCAAACATTTATTCCACACCAGACAGCTGGACATGAAAAAACAGGATACATGCAGGCAGCAGCTCTCCACCCGCAATCACAAAATGGAGTTCCCTATAAACGGCTGCGGGGCCGTCATCCCGAAAGCAGCTTGTCCGGAGCCGCTCGTGTGCATATGTTATTAGTCATAGCGGTGATGAAGCAAAGCAGAATTCAAGTGTTTCCATTCAGAAGAAATATAAG